AAAATATTTTAACTTGTGCAAAAAAAAAAAGTTTCAGCGGAAATTAGCGGGAAAAATGGAAAAATCTGAGGAAAAGCGGAAACCCGCGGAAGAATCTCATCCCTGTTATTATTACTTATGAGAATACCAAACCACTGGAGAAACTTTTTGCTGTAAATTCTTTTCCCTCTCCATTACTAATTTAAAAGAAAAAGTGAGTGTAGCTGTAGGTAAGCCACTAAGTCTCAATAGCTGGAAAAAAAACTTAAAAATATCTTCTCATAATTTACATTCATTTGAATTATATTTAATTATATTATTATATTTTAAAATTTTCCCTTCAGTATTTGAAACTACATGGTTTACTCTAGATTTGACCAGATATCTAAAAGATGTCTCTTTCAGGTTGATTTTAGTGAGAACCCCTGTGGCAGAATTGTTGTTGTTGTTATTAATTTACGTTGTACTAGAGCTGCACAATGGGCTATTGGCGACGGTCTGGGAAACATCACGGAGGATGATCCGAAGACATGCCATCACAATTTTGATCCTCTGCGAAGGGGGGCGGGCTTTCTGCAACATACCTCTCTTTATTTTTTTTCTCTTTTACTGTTTCGGAATATTTTAATATTATTACTTTAATTAACTGTAACTTTACTTGCATTTATTTATATTGTGATTTGATGGGGGCATTTCATTTGTTGGTTTAAATTTTGTACCTTTTAGGTGTTATTCCTATTCAAATTTATAGTCAGGGGTCTGTCCAGGCCGCATTTACTACCATTTAGCGGTACCTTCACAAATTCAATTTTAGGTAAAACGGTAGTTTCACAAATTCAACTTTAGGAAAAACGGTAGTTTCACAAAATACTTTTTCTTAAAATTTTATTTTTGTACCCCATAAGAAACGACAAATCTATATTTTAACCATGTTTTTGTATTGATTTTTTAATATAATTTTTGATTTTTCACAAATTATGTTTAAATTTTCACAAAATAGGTACCTTTCACAAAAACCTAGACAGACCCCTGATAGTGCTTTTAAATTGTGGTACACATTATTTTTTTGCCTTTTCATTGAGGGGTCTCAGGGCACTGTTAGTTTTGGTCAAATCCGCTAACAGAAAAGCTCCTGTGTGTTTGCAGGCAGTGTGTCCCCTGATAAAGCACTGTTCTGCAAACACACATTTATATTTTTATTTTAATTATTTAAATTTTATTATGTCTTATTTCTATTTTATATAAAACAAATTTGGTTTCAGCTGCCTCGTGCGCTTTTCCAATTTGACTTAATGTTTCAATGTGTTTATTTGCCTCTTATGAATCAATATTGACTAAGTAAATTGAATTGATTTTATGATTAGATACCTCTCTAATACTCATATCTTTCTGCAAGGTAAAAAAAAAATTAAATTAAATAAATAATGAAATTGGATCAAATAAAATTTTTCTTTTTTAATTGAATGTAATTTTTTAAATTTCCAATATTATGGGCGACATTCTCGCGCTTTGTAGAAATGTAACACACTTATTATTTCCTTTAAGATAACACACTAATTATTTCGTTTTTTGCATTATGTAATTCATCTTCATGTTTAAAAAAAAATCTGTAGCTATAACTACTGAAAAAAGAGATCAAAGACGAAATCACCCGAATCGAACTCTTCAAAAAGTGGTTACTAAATGAGTGTTTTTATTTCGAGATACAGGTTTTTTAATAAATAATCTCAGATTTTAATATTAATGTGAAAATCAGTAATAATAACTGTATGAAAAAATAGAAAGAAAAATTTCTACAGAAAAGAAAACTAAATTTTTTACTTTCTCAAATGAGAATAGAAAAATCACAAGCTTTTTTATCCCACTCGGATGCGCAAGAAAGCATCTTTTGAATATAATTCTGAAGATAAAATTTTTGGAAAATTTCTGCAAAAATTAAAAGCAATTTTTTTATATGTTTCAAAGGAAAAATCTTTCTGTCAGAACTCTGCAACATTCTGCATCAATGTCGCCACGATTCTGCCACGGGGGTGAGAACTTGACTATTTTTAAGCAAGATGAGACATAATGTGCATATTGAACAAATTACTAAAATAACTGCATAAATTGTGTGAGCGATATCACATGCAATTTTCTCAGATTGTTTACCACATGACAAAATTGCTGTGCTAATTAAATATCCTGTATATTGTAAGGTGTTACCCGTCGAGCGGCAACCTTGTGGTATTGGGTTTCAAAAACACGTAAATAAATATCGCACCATCAGATTTTTAAATTGAGTAAAATAAAATGTGTACCTTTCTAATCAGGTAAATTACTAGAATCAATGTTTAATATTATAATTGCGCAATTAAGAATTATGATATTAACAGATTCCGGTACAATTCCAAATATTTAAAATGGCAAAATAGCGTGAAATCAAATTGGCGGAAGAATCACATCTATGCAAGACATCTCGCTAACAAGATATAGCAAAAGTTTCAACATTTCGTTAGATTATAAACTTTTGATTCGCTGAAGTCTGCAAACCAATGGTCTTGAGACACAATGAGAAACACACGATTTTTGCAGAAAAACGCAATGATTTGCTCTCACTTTTTAAACCAAGAAAAATAATAATACTAATTCATGGTACACCTAGAATACGATAGATTCCGACAGAAAATGGGTTGTGGTCAATTTTACATCAGATTTCAATGAACTGATTATTGAAGAACCTTTTTAAACATACTATTACAGAGAAATTTTTAAAAGAAGTCCAGATCAAAATTTTTCTGGTTAGTCAAGGAAGGATACTATAGCAAAACTCTCAAATAAAAAAAAAAGTACACTATCACAAATTTGAGGGGAAAATGTAACTTTTTCAATTTAACCCAATAATTAAGTCAGGGGTCTGCCTAGGTTTTTCTGAGAGGTACCTATTTTGTGAAAATTAAAAATTATTTATATAAATCAACACAAAAATATGGATTTATTATTTCTTAAGGGATACAAAAATAAAATTTTAAGCTACCATGTTTCCTAAAATTGAATTTGTGAAGGAAGGAAATTTGACCTGGACAGACCCCTGAAGTTTGATTGCGAAATTGTATATAAATTCTTAACATTAAATTAATTCTAATAAATTCTTTTGTAGCCTCAAAATTGTAAATAAAGAGATGAAATTTTGTAAGATATCAAAAGTTTAAAATCTTAAGTGACATTGTTTAGAATATTATTTAGAATCGGTTACAAAACTGTATTAATTTACACACATATAGGAATTTATTTAAATACCTGTGAATGTTTGCTTTCAGTTCGCATTCCACAGTTTTCAAAACATTTGGAACCTAATATATCAGGGACAGACATCAACATGAACCCTTTCTTAGTTAGTTTCTCCACAGCATACCTAATTAATGATTGTTCTAGAAGAGCCAAGTCATTTTTCAAAAAGTAACTCTTACTACCACACATTTGTCCTAAATTTTTCGTTCTTAACAAATTCAGTCGCTTAGTAAGATTATCAAAAGTTGAAGGAAAATAAGTAAACGCAGTTTTTGAACCCATTTTATGTAGTACAACTGGTTCTTCTGATCTATTTCTTGCCACTCTCGGATGCATAGCATTTGGAAACCAAAACAATTTGGGTGTTATGTTCTTTTTTAACTCTGCTGCTTTTATAGGATCACTTCGATGTAACTGTTGAAGTTCTTTAAGTGCATCTTGTAACTCACAAGGAACTTTACGTAATATGACATTGGAAGATATTTCTTTCAAATTTGCCGAATTACTGAAATAATCCCAGTCAACTGCTCTTTCGGTGAAATTCGAAGATGTACAGAAACATCGTACACGAATGTTTCGAATTAAATCTCTAAATAACATAATAAGAAAAATAACAGTATAAAATAGTACATACACTAAATTAAGACACCTTTAGAAGTTACGAAACATTGAATTTAACAAGAATAATAACTATTAATAATTAAGCAATACTTTCTAATCATTACTCATAATTTCACCTCTATGCTTTCAGCGAACGATGCGGTGGAAACAAAACAAGCGCCATGATTATTTAAGTTGAGTTGAGGAGAAGGAAAAATGCTTTTTTACTTTTTTCTTTTTGCGCGTGCGCTACTCTTGAACTTGATTCTAAGGGACCGTTTTCGCCATATGCAATTCACGCATCTGGGCTAGTCTCCATGATGGCTCTCATCTTTCCCTCCTTCCCAGGGCGAGGGAGTTGCTTGTCTTAGAATAATTACTGGACATGACTACTAGCAGGACCATCTATTTAAAATCAATCCTGTCAATTCACCTCTTTGTGTACCCTGTAACACTTCGCCTATGACTGGGGAGCATCTATTTGATTGTCCCTCTCTTCTTGACATTCGTTCCTGTGGTAACTTTCGTGCCCTCTCACCTTCTGGATCTACTTCACTTACACCGCAAGACGCCTTATGTCTGAGAAGACGATGGCGGACGTAATTTAATAATAATAATAAAAAATTCACGCATCTCCAATCCTTTTCTCTCGACGCAAATAAAAATATATTTTTTGAAAAGGGTAACAACGAAAACAAAATTTTTTTTTCTCTATTAACTACCGGGTACGAAAAGTTATCTTATATAAATAACATTAACTAAAGTTATCCTATATAAATAACATTAATATGAAAAAAGTGGTAGTAACAATGAGCAGAAAATAAAACTCATTAACCTTAATATTTTTTGATCTGATGATGATCAGTTTTTCTGTCTGAAAATATCATCTGTAATTAAAATATTAATACCCCTCCAAACCATTTAATCCTAACACGTAAAGATCCGATCATTAAATCAAAAGTTATTCAAGGAGGTCCGTTTTTATTCTTCAGATCCATAATTCAAAGAGTTCATTTTTTTCTTCACACTGTACATATTTATCTTCACTGCAATACATACACTCGTACATATACGTTTCTCGCTTCTAGATTGGTATAGGTACTTTATTTACGTCACACTAGAGTTGCACAATGGTCTATTGGCGATGATCTGGGAAACATCCCTAAGAATGATCTGAAAATATGCTATCACAATTTTTATCCTCTGCAGAGGGGATGGCTCCCCCGCTTTGATAACTTGAGGGTCTGCGCTTTCATCAGTTTGATCAGCCTGCGTAGGAACCGAGGGTGCGCGGTATCAGTCCTCGTTAAAGTGTTCAACCGTAAAGTGCTCGATTTCTCGGGCAGGTCATTGGGCTACCAAAGCAGGGGAGCCATCCCCTCTGTAGTGGATCAAAATTGCAATGGCATGTCTTCGGATCATCCTTAGGGATGATTCCCAAACCATCGCCAAGAGCTCATCATACAGCTCTAGTGTGACGTAAATAAAGTACCTACCTACTTGATATTTGAATAATTTGTTACTAAAATGAACTTTTCTTATCCTATTAGAAAAGACTGAATGCCAGTATAACAGTCATAATAAAAGGTTCCCTGTTATTAGAAAGACCAAAGATTGCCAGTGCTCTGCTTATATTTATTTAACCATCAGGCTATCAACTGCATTCTCACAAAAAAAAGAGATAAATTTGTGAGGGTAAAATATTATTTATTCATTCCTTATTTGTGATTTAATGTCACATTCTGCTTGACATAAAATATAAAGCGTATAAAATATAATACTTGACACGTTTAAAACCATAACAAAATGATAAACTAGGTGCAGTATTTAACATAAATATGTTCAAAATAATTATTTTGTGCTACTAACAAGTTATGTACTTTGTTTATTAATTATTTTAAAAAAAATCTTCCTCGTTAAAGCGCCGACATAATCATTTGTCTCTGTTGACTGCTTGTGTTTACATGCGTTCTGCTCTCTTTATGAAAATGTTCAGATAGTTTTTTTAAAAGTCTGTTCATGAAAAAGTATATTTTATTACCTTTAAAACCACTACGATATTTTCATAACTTTTATTTAATGAATTTAGAGCTGTGAACTCCTTTTCCTACTCGCTTCGCTCACCCACTCAATTAAATTTAATAATTTCACAATAGCCTTCAATCGCTGAGAGCGAAAGGATTATTACATTAAAGTTAGCAATTGTTAGTTTAAAAGATTCCAAATTTTTTTTATTATATAGCAGAAACATTTTTTTCCAATTCTCTTCTGATTAATTAAACTTAATGGTTCTGCTCGATTACAAACTATAATTTTTTTTTACAATCTCATTTAATTTTCAGTTATCATAACATTCTTTAAATATTTTTCTTCTAAGAGATTATATAGTAATAACGCGAAAAGTTATTACTTATTAATGCTTTAGAATTTTTAGCAGCTATTTTGTACGAATTATTTAAGTTGCATATGTTCATTATGTGCAGTTTTATAATAATGTTCATAAAATTCATTGAACAATTTAGTATTACTTTTCAACATGCAGATAGAATTTTATAATTATTTCATTTTCTAATTGTAAAACGATAGATAAATAACTTCGTCATAAAGTTTTACATAATACGGTAAAATTATGTGATTGCTCTCTATATATAAAAAAAACCCCAACCAATTTAGTTATATTCATAGTTTTTAGACTTATTAGGCATACTTTGATCTAAAGCTGAAAGCTCTTTATGAAGGTCATATTTTATCGTTTTTACATATTGACAAATTTCTTGTTTATTTTATTGATTATTTTTTTGTAGCATTCTCTAAGTTTTTTTAATATTGTTTCTAATATATTACCATAAAACAAGAATAAAAAACAACACCTATTTACGCATAGAACTGGATATATATATATATAGATATGAAAATCCAATTTAAGTTATAAAAGTTACTAAAAAATTAACTTTCTTTATTTTCTTCGTTAATCTTTCTTTTCTTTTTTTCTTCATTGTTTTATATATACAGCGGAAGCCGCTTAAGAAGTTTTTCAAAGGAGTGGAAAGAAATGACTTATTAAACGAGAAAACTTCTTAAACGGTGAAGTTTAAAAGCACATAAATTAAAAAATTTTAAAATTGTATAACTATTATTACAGAATCAGCATAATGGAATAACTATTTAATGTTACTTGTCATTTAGAAAAAAATTGCTAATAAATAAATACAAAGTTACCTACCTTATTTTTTATTTTATGCAATGTTATTTACATTTTTACAATTATTGACGAGTTGTTTGAGAGAAAAAATCGTGTAAAGTAGTTTGTTTTTGTTTTTCTCATTGCAATTGAAAATTGTCCAACTTCTGTAAATATTTGAACATTTCAGAAGGCACATTTTCAATACTGTAAATAAATTTTCGAGAAGTATCCACCCCTTTTCTGGCTTCAGAAAAACTAGAAAGTTTAGTAACGTTTTCTTCAGCTTCGCTCAGTTCTTCTGTGCCATTTTTAACTTCACAAATATCCTCTAATGTAAGCACATCACAAGGTAAAATTTCGTCGTCAACCGATACATATTCTTTAAACGATGCAGTGAAATTAAGCTTATTTTGGGGCGATTTCCAATCATTATCAAAATTTTCATTTGTTTCATCATCTGACAATTTATATTCTGCTTCAAAGTCATACTCTTCAGTTGTATCTCCGTCAGAGAATCTAGCCTTTTGAAAGCAATTAGCAATCGCAGATGGTGTTATTGATTCCCATGCTGATACAATAAACTCAATCGCTTCTAAAACATTGACTTTTTTTTAACTCTTCAGTATTTTCAAGTCCTTCCAGCATCCGTTTCACAAGTCGCATTTTATAATGCTGCTTAAATACCTTAATAACTCCCTGATCCATTGGTTGTAGAACAGAAGTAGAATTTGGTGGTAAGAACTGCAACTTGATGTTAGTGTACTTATTCTCCTTGGAATGAGCAGCGCAGTTGTCTACGAAGATTATGATGTTTCGTTTTTCTTTTCGCATCTTACTGTCTAATTTTTTCAAATACGTTTCAAAAATTTTAATTGTCATCCAGGATTTTTGATTACTGTCATAATCACAAGGCAGTGACTTAACATTTCGAAAGCATCTTGGTTTTTTCGATTTACCGATAACTAAAATCGGTAATTTTTCTATACCATTCATACTGGCCCCAACTAAAATTGTCAAACGTTCTTTACTGTTTTTTCCGCCATGACAGGGTTCACCTTTAAAGGCAAAAGTTTTATCTGGTAAAAGATTGAAAAACAGTCCACATTCATCCATGTTAAAAATGTCCTTTGGTTGATAACCTGAAATAAGTCCAGGTACTTTAGCTTTTCATTCTTCAGCTTCTTGTAAATCAACGTTGTTACAATCTCCTTTAATTGTTTTATAGACTAATCCAGCTCGTTTTTTCATCCGATCAATCCATCCATTGGAAAGCGTGAAATCAACGTTCAATTTCTCCTCTTTTCCTCTAATTAGAAGAGTTCCGTTGACAGGAATGCTCGCGGATCTTGTTTGTTTAAACCATATCATAAGTTTTCTTCAATATCCTCGTATTTTCCTCTTTTAATTCATTTTCTGGGATGCACAGGAACAAGAAGAGTTTAAGATGATGTCTTTCTTAGCAATAATGTCATTTAACGTAGTAACGGAAAGACTAACATTTTTCGCTATTTGAACCCTTGTTAATTGAGAATAGCTGTCAAAAGCTTTAAAAATTTTTACTTTATCCTCAGTAGATAATGCTTTACGTTTAATGCTTGTACAGAACATTTTCAACAAAAATCAAATTTTTTTTCCGACGATACTTAAGATAAAATCAAAATGAGCCTTCACACCAAGAAAATTCTCAATGAAATGATGCTAAATGTTTAAATGTATCTTTCGCGTCAGTCATTGAATGGGTGTCAAGTTTATTAAGGAAAGTTAATTAATTAATTGAAGCGTTATTAATTTAAAACTTATTAATCGAAAAATGAAGAACTCTGTAAGGAAAGAATGGCAAATATTACAATGATAAAATATCTACACTATTAAAAGAAAGTTCTTAAAATTAATTAATTGAAACTTTCTTAGTTTGTAATTTATTAATTGAAAAAAGATGAATTTTTAACAACAAAATTAAAATGGAAGACGAAAGACTGAATCAATAAATTAAACTAAATGAAACGTAGTGCGATCGTAATGTAAAAATTCTCTTTGGAAACATCTGAAAACTGCAACTTTAAATGGAGTATGATCGAAAGAGAAATTAAATGCGCATTTAGATTTAATTCTTATTAACACTTAAACATACCAATACTTAATATGTACCTATTTCTACCATAGCCGGTCAAATAACCGGATTTAATGTTTCTTGATTGAATGTATGGTATATTGATGTTAGGAAAGAAATAAACAAGAAAACTTTATTATAATTAAGCAAAGTTGTATATTGCCAATTTTTATGCATCACAAACACAAAGAATAAGAATTTTTAATTCATTGCTAAACGCATATTTTACATATATACAGTTTGTTTCCATTGTAAGTTTTCCACAGACATATTCTTCAAATCGAGAACAAATTTTGATGGTTTTATTGCCGTTACAATATTATATTTGGCACGTCTTACGTTCAACCAGTATATTCTCATTTTCAGAAAATTTATCTTCATCAATTTCCGAAAACTCTTGGCCTATATTATTTATTTCTTCTAAGAACTTGTGCTGTCTTGATTGCTTCGTCATTTTTCTGGGTAAAAACTAACCTAGGTTAGTTTTTACCTAGTTACAAATGAAGTAAAGCTATCAATATAAAATATAAGCCAAAACTTTTAGTTTTTGTCTCTTTTTCTTACACAAAAATGCCACCGTCATGTGGGGCTACTTTGTGCAGGATTTCGCAGTTTTTGAANTTGACTTTTTTTTAACTCTTCAGTATTTTCAAGTCCTTCCAGCATCCGTTTCACAAGTCGCATTTTATAATGCTGCTCAAATACCTTGATAACTCCTTGCTCTATCGCTTGTAGAACAGAAGAAGAGTTTGGTGGTAAAAATTGCAACCTGATGTTAGTATAATTATTCTCTTTGGAATGAGCAGCGCGATCTACGAAGATTATGATGTTTCGTTTTTCTCTCCACATCTTACTGTCTAACTTTTTCAAATAGCCTTCAAAAATTGCAATTGTCATCCAGGATTTTTGATTACTGTCATAATCACAAGGCAGCGACTTAACATTCTGAAAGCATCGGGTTTTTTTCGATTTGCCAATAACTAAAGTCGGTAATTTTTCTATACCATTCATACTGGCCCCAACTAAAATTATGAAACGTTCTTTACTGTTTTTACCTCCATGACTGCTTTCACCTTTAAAGGCATAAGTTTTATCGGGTAAAAGATTAAAAAACAGTCCACATTCATCCATGTTAAAAATGTCCTTTGGTTGATAACCTGAAATAAGTCCAGGTAATTTAGCTTTCCATTCTTCAGCCTCTTGTAAATCAACGCTGTTAAAATTTCCTTTAATTGTTTTATAAGCTAATCCAGCTCGTTTTTTCATCCGATCAATCCATCCAATAGAAAGCGTGAAATCAACGTTCAATTTCTCCGCAATTTTTAATGCTTTTCCTCTAAGTAATACAAAAGGGGGGAAGAAGCTAAGATTTTCACCAGGGCGTCATATCTAAACCTAGTCACCTTCCAACACTAGGCAAAGCCTCAACTGATTCCTAAATGGGTGCAATCCCTACAGCAAGAGGGAACTTCGCTAAACTCACCCTTTGGCTCACTTTATCGATGTTTTTGGCGCACTTACTATTTTGGGACTCCTTGCTCTGCATCATAAGTTTTCCACTGACATATTTTTCACATTTGGAAAGAATTTTGATGGTTTTATTGCCGTTACATTATTATATTTGGCACGTCTTACGTTCAACCAGTATATCCTCATTTTCAGAAAATTTGTCTTCATCAATTTCCGAAAACTCTTGGCCTATATTATTTATTTCTTCTAAGAACTTGTGCTGCCTTGATTGTTTCGTCATTTTTCTGTTTAAAACTAACCTAGGTAGTTAGAAATGAAGTAAAGCTATCAATATAAAATATAAGCCAAAACTTTTAGTTTTTGTCACTTTTTCTTACACAAAAATGCCAATCTAAAATTTTAGGTACTTGCTTGAAATTTGAATTCACAGTTAGTTATTCTACTTGAACTAATTACGCAACTGTTATTGCAGGAAATGTGCAACTAATAGAATACAATACGTTGAACACGCATTTCATCATAATTTCTGATCCGATGACCTTATAAAGCAATAAATTATTCTCCCGGTCAAATGAACGGTTGTGGTAGAAATAGGTATATGACAAGAATTATTCGAAACAAACAAAATACAAAAATTAATGATAATAGAATATATAATTGTCAGAAAAAAATCATGAAATCAAATGTGCAAAAACGATAAGATGGTATGTGCATTTTCGACGCAAAAGTTCTTGAACGATCATTTGACCGGTTATGGCATGTTTAGTGCTAAACATTCCAAATAAATTAAAATACTAGAGGCGGTGAACATTTCAATTAGTAGATTGGTAGAGGTAGCATCATTGTAGTTTTAAGCATACTTTTGGCTGTTACAGATACAACTTAATTTGGATATCATGTATGGATAATTATCTCAGAGAAGGAATAAAATTCGTTTTAGGAAAAAATCTATTTGTATAAATGTTAAGAAGATTATGACCATATTCAAAAATATAAAAACAAAGAAATGAAATATTTTAACGGAATCAAGTTAAACAATATCTTAAATCGTGAATTTCTGTTAAGATTATTCAACGGTAAGGACTGGTGGTCCCTAAACGCTCCCTCCCCAATCTTCACTCAAATAATTCAAAATTAAAAGTGTATGAACTGTTTCCAACGGACAGATAGGAGCATGGGAAAAGATGCAAGGTTGGCGAATTATCGAAAGGTAACAAAGCCAAAAATAAAGCCAATCCCCATAATCAATATTAAATTTGACAGTAATTTGGCTATCGCGAATCGCCAAAGATACTGTTAGAATTAGTATAGCAATGTAATTTAAACATATTTGGGCTAAGAAATAAAGAATTTAGAGTTATAGATAGACTTTTGTTTTCGATTAGTCGAGACAGTAAATTAATGAGCCTGACATTAGTATGGAAAAAAAAATTCGCCATTACATTGATGGTATAAGAAAAGAATATCGTATTTTTTATTCGCTTTTTATAACTTACAATAAAAATTAAATAATGGGTGGTTTAATTTAATTAAAATTCGGTTTGGATCGGCCAGTTTTCGGTTATTAAAAAAATAAGTTTAAGAAATTAAAGAAATTTTAAAAGCTAGGAAATATGTGATGCCTATTGCGGCATCAGAAGAATAATTTCAGTGGCAGAAACATCTGTTTAGATCTGCAATATCATGGAACAAATTTTGAACTTTCTTGTTTGTCGTAAGTTTAAAGAAGTGATGATGTCAAATATTACAGTGAGGAAACGGTTGCACTACCATAAGAAAGTACTTAAAATTAAATAATTGAAGGGTTATTAGTTTAAAACTTATTAAATGAAAAAAAAAACCTTTTGTAACAGCAAAATTAAATTAAAAAAATTATTGTTTTAAGTTATTTTATTTTATTGAAATAAATCAAAAGAAAAATTAAAAAATGAAAAAAAAAATGAACGAAACACTGGCTAAGCTAAGTAAATTTTCTAAGAGAATAAAGTCTTAAAAGTTCCAAAATTTTAGAAATTAAATATTTCTACTGAAGAGAATTAATTTTATGTTTCAAACGATTTTCTAAAAGCTTAGATAGAAGGCAGGGAAAATCTAGAAAAAAGTTTCTGATTCCATGGACTCGGGAAATTAGGCCGAAGTAAATGAATAATACCCTTCCAAAATTTTGTTAAAACCCTCTAAAACACGTTAATTTAAAATTTGCCAGAAAAAAAAAAATAGGAATAATTCAGAGAAGATCGTTTTTTTTTGTTTAAGTTTCATTTTGTGGGGAGAAATGTCTATCATGTTTTTAAAAAAAATGATCTAAAAACAATACTGCTTATTTTATTCTTTTTGCAGGTTCCATTAGAGTTCGACAGAGGACAAAGTCTCTTACGACCAAAGCTTATAAATCTCAAATTTCTTCGAGGAGATAATTGCATCCTTAACAATCGTGTACTTCAAAACAAGACAAATTCCATATTGTTTTTCTTTTAATGCTTACTGGGGTTACTTACAGGAAGTTTTAGGCTTAGTAGTTTAGAATTTTCTTATTATTGTCAATTATTTTGATTTATTAAATGCTTGTAAATATTTGCATTTTTCATCGATTTCGTGATTAATGTTATTCATTATTTTCTTAATGCACTTGTGTTGATTTAAGTTAAATAAAATTTTCTTCTATTTTAAATTTCTCAAATCCTCAGAAATGGTTGTTGTTGTTAATTTATGTCGCACTAGAGTTGCTCAATGGGTTATTGGCGACGGCCTGGGAAACATCCCGGAGGATGATCCGAAGACATGCCATCACAATTCTGATTCTCTGCGGAGGGGATGGCACCCCCGCTTCGGTAGCTCGATGACCTGCGCGCGAAGTCAAGCACTTTACGGTAGCACAGTTTAACGAGGACCAATACAGCACACCCTCGGTCCCTACGCAGACTGATCCAAGTGGTCACCCACCCGCACACTGACCGTAGCCAGTGATGCTTGACTTCGGTGATCTGCTGGGAACCGTGTCTTAACGATCAGT